GTGCCTTTTTTTGAGGGGGCCCTCAGAGGAAGGTTGCCGGACCTCCGTGTGGGTGTGGGTGTTTTTGTCTGTGCACATGCACCCGCAAGCACCTGTGGGGGGCGCCCTGTTCTGTTTAATTTTGTGGGTACCCATGGGGGATTTTCTCCTTTGGCAAGGGTTTTTTTTTAAAAAAAATTATGTCGGGCCCTCCTCCCCCCCGGCTAGGCAGTCGCTGGCGCTCCCTCCCTTCTCCGCTTCTTCGTCTTGCTGCTGCTGGTGGTGGTGGTAGTGAAGAAGGAGCTGGAGGGGGTCGTGGCCAGCGAGGAGGGTTCGTGCGCCCCTCCTCCTTGGAACACCAGCTAGGCTAAGGAAACTCCTGGGCCGCTTCCTCAGGCTCTTGCTCCGCTTGGCGGAAAATCTGGTGTGGCCCAGCCTCACCCAGACTCTGCCTCCAGCAGCCCCCGGGTAAATTGAGTTTGAGACCCCTGATTTAGACCAGATAAAGCTTTCTTTCCCCTCATGCTAGGTTCCTTTTGCCCTGGGAAAGCCTTCGGGAGCCTTTGGATGGGAGGGAAACTTGAAAAGTAAAATAAAATAAAAAATCACCACCAGACTACTGTCCTCAGAATTGGGGCCACTGCTGCTGATCTGGGAGCAATTTTGTACTTCCAAAGGCTCGCCTCTTGCTGCAAGGGCTTCCCCAGGGCAAAAGCTATCCTGAGGGAATCTAAGAAGCTATATTAAGTGTTTCCAGTGCCCAATCCGAGTTGCACTGGACACAAAGTTACACCACAGATATTTTCGAAGGCTTTCATGGCCGGGATCTGATGGTTGTTGTGGGTTTTTCGGGCTCTTTGGTTGTGTTCTGAAGGTTGTTCTTCCTAACGTTTTGCCAGTCTCTGTGGCCGGCATCTTCAGTGCTGTCCTCTGAAGATGCCGGCCACAGAGACTGGCGATATGTCAGGAAGAACAACCTTCAGAACGTGGTCAAAGAGCCTGAAAAACCCACAACAACTACTACACCACAGGAATTTGCCCTGTGAGTTCAAGGTCACACGGGAGTGAATCTATGCTGCTGCTTATCCCTAGGGGAGGCAATGGTGGATCTGAGAGAGATTTAGAGCTTAAGTTCATCCTGCATGCTTTGGGGATTCCAAAGGAATTGAGCCACCTGAACAGCTGCCCTCCTGCAGCCACTTCCATCCTGCTAACAGAAGTTGCAATAGGAGCTTCCACATTCTAGAAAATGTAGAATACAGTGGCCCATTGGTATGACCAGGACAAAGTCAATTGGAGTCCTATCCTGTTGCTTTAAATTGGACATCATTTAAAATGGCCCATTTAAATGAATAGGATTTTAGACCCTTATTGTCAGCAGGAGGATGTGGCAAGCAAGCAGCTGTCTTTTCCTGCTATTATTGTTGGTCAACGTTAGCCATGGTGACTAAGGCAGATGCAGTTAACATCAGGAGGGCCACCTATTGGCCATCCTGAAGTAGAATATTGTCATTACTTTCATAAGACTTGAGTAATGACACTAACAACACTTTTCATGAATTGGTTCTTTCAAGAGGTAGTTAATTTAATGCAAGAACATATTAAGCTTCCTAATACTGAGTCAGACCATTGGTCTGTCTATCCCAGTACTGCCTACCGTAATTTTCCGTGTATAAAACGTAATTTTCCGTGTATAAAACTTTGACAAAAGTACAGTGGTGCCTCTCACAGCGAGGTTAATGGCAAAAGTATAGACTAAAAATTGAGGGTCGTCTTATACATGGAAGTAGCTGAGGAGAGAACAAAAACAAGTGAAGGGGAAAGCAGGGATCAAAGCGATCCTGCAGCACTTTGATCCCTTTCCCCCTACACTTGCTAAGCCCCACTTAGATTTCTTAATTTTGGATTAGAAAAGTGGGGGCATCTTATACATGGGGCGTTTTATACACAGAAAAATATGGTATATTGTTTGGCAAAAGGTCTCCACCAATTTACCTATCTCCTACTTTCTGATCCTTCAAAACTTTACTTGCCGAGGTCTAGACCTGTGGCCTTCTGCAGGCCCAGCCTGTCTTCTCTCATTGGGTTGTGGCTCCTCCCCTGAATAACTTACCAGAACCCCCACAAATGAGTCACCACTACAGATGAAGTATTCAAGTTATTTCAGAGAATGGACTTCAGGGGAGGCAGTGCTGATAGTCAAGTGCAAATCATCAGATGGTGCTTAATGATTACCTAGCTTGGGCAACGTGTAGCCTGTATAATTAAATTGTAAACCACCCAGCAAGTGCTTTCAGACCTATGGGGCGGTATATAAGCAGCACACTTTGCTTTTCTAATGAAAAGCCAGAGTCCCAAAAGATTGTTCCGCCTTGTTTAGGGGCGGACTGGAGAGCAGCAGCGGGAGGAAAGAGAGGGAAGAAAGTCCTGTCATCCAAAGTGTTTGCCTGCTAACGTGGTGCGCAGTTTAAGTCAAGCCCAAGAGAACACTTTGACTACTCGTCTCATTACAGATGTCAATGCTACTGCTAAGAGATCTGTTGGCATGCCTGAGCCTTTCCCTAGAAGATAGTATTGCTAGGGAAAGACTTTGTCCAATTATTTGCTGTTTGTGCTCATTGTTTTGGATTGTGCAGCCAGCACTTGTTGCTTGTTGTTTTGTTTTCTGTATCCCCATCATTTGAAGATCATCTGCTTGACAAACCACCTTCTTGTAAAAGCTAGCAGGAGTGGCCGAGAGGTGCAAGCCCGTTTTCTCATGTAAATTACATGAATGTTGAGGGCAAAAAAAGCCACGACTGATTCATGAGGGCGCATTAGGAGAACGCTTGGGAGAGGCGATGCCTGTTTTAAGACAGTGGTGCTCAGTGGCATGAATTATGAAGCAGCATGGGTTGAGGGGAGGATTACCACTCCAGAAATAACAAGGTAATTGCTGTCGAGGTATAGGGAACTCCTTGCAGATATGTGTAACGGGAGAAGAATTCTGAAAAAATATGTTGCTTTGGAGCAAGAAGGAAAGATCCGCTTTGCTTTTGTGGGGTGGGGAAAGGTCTTTCAAAATCTGCACAAAAATAAATAAACATCACTCTTTAAAACAGAAGATTTGTCTTCAAGGAAATAAATGAAATATTAAAGCTGAATATAGAGACATGCCCTCAGATAGCTCTTTTATCAATATTTAATAATGATTAATAGAGCTGGGCAACAAAAGAACTAATTTCAAATGTATTAAGAGTGCAAGATGGATGGTAGGAAAGGGATTGGAAAGTCAACTGTGATTTTCAGTTGGAGGACTGGTATAAAGAAGATTGGCCTATACCTATTAATGATGAATGACCATGCAATATGAAAATTAAGAAGGGATTGTTACATAACAATATTTTTGTTGATATATGGGGCGATTTTTATTCAGTTTGTGTTTTTAAAAAAGGGAAGGGTTGCATGCCTTAACAAGAATCCGTGCAGTTTTGGAAAGGGAATGGGGGGGCTGTAAAGAAGGAAAATTAGTTGTGTATCCTCAGATGGTCCCATGTGCAGGGGGTGCCCTTGTATTCTTGTATTTTGTGTTCAGGTTTTAAGGTTTCTTGTATAGTTGTGTTATATTTCGTTTAATATTAAAAATAAAACAACAATAAAAATGAAAGAGAAGATTCGAGTGCTCTTATAATGTCCATCTACAATTCTTGATGTAGTTCTATTAATTAACAGTTAAGGGATCTACATCAGGAATGGGTATAAATCTTTACTATCTGCATTAGAATATTTCAAGTGTATTGATTACTTGATAACAATCTGCAAGCTACTGAACAGCTGGGTACATTTTCTGAAAGATGGCACTATAAGGTTATGGAATACTCCTTTTAAATTCATTCACCTATTATTTACAATAGTTTCCTCTCTTTGTGTAGAAATAATAACCAAAACATTCATTCAGTTGCCAAGATTGTTTATAATTCATTGGCCTTGCACTGCCAAAGTGGGCTAATTGTTTCACAATGACTTATGTAGACTACCTTGTCAAGCTGCAAATTTTAAAAGTACCATCTCTTTAGGACAAACTGTCCTGCACCCCCTTTAATTTTGGTAACTCCCTTGAACACACAAGGTTTCAAACCTTGACACAGGTTCCCAACTTGGGTTGCCTTTCCCTGCTGAATAACAGCAGTAGTTGGTGTTTATAGATCCATCTGGACTGTGAAGCAAGCATGTAATCCAGACCTGGGCGAAGTGTGGCCCAAGGGCCACATATGGCCCGCAAGCTGCTCCTGTCCAGCCCACGGACAGTTTTGAAGATCAAAACCATTTATAGCTTTTTGTCTAAAGTTGATCAGTTGCTTATCTTTAACACACTACAAAAAAAACTCTTTAGTATTTATGAAGATTAACGAATTTAAAATAAAAACAACCATAACATCACTGTTGCATTTTACTTTTCAGTAAAGTTCGTTCGGCCCCCGAGCACAGTTCAGATTTTTAATGTGGCCCCCCTATAGAAATTAATTGCCCACCCTGATGTAATCCATAAAATAACCAGGGAGGCTCTAAACTGGGATGGTTGTCCCCAGTGAGACAGGGAATAATGGCCACCTCCCCAGCTACTGGTCGCACTGAGACTGAAACTGAGAACATCCTGATTCAGAGGCTCCTGAAGTNAGGAGTTCCAGGCCATTGCCTTTCTCCCCCCCCCCCCGGCCTGGTAGCTATATGTAGCGTGAGACACATGCTGTGTCATCATAAAGTTGCTGTATATTGAATCTCACCTTTGTGGGCCTCTTAGTTTCTTTTTTGGGGAACAATATGTTGGTATGCTTCACCTGAGGATTTGATTTTCTTCCCCAAACCAGGGGACGAATGCCTAGTGACTTCAGGTTATTCTGTTGACAGGGCAAATTTGGAGATTACATATGGCAAAGGACTGGAGAAACTGGCCAACAAGCTCGCCAAAGTGTTGAACAAATCAAAGGTCAAGTAAGTGGCATCGCATGGCATGCACAGGGTCCCGCTGTGCTTCTGTAGGGTTGTGTAGACATATGAGGGCCTGGCTGCTAGATAGGATAGATGCAGCTCTAGAAGCACACGTGCTAGTTGACCTAGCCGCATGGATTGAAGTGGTTCTCATGCATAGTAACTGGGGATATGCAAGGTGTCCTCTGTTCGCTTGCTGGGCCAAGGGTTTGTCACGGATTCTGACCTAGCCGCATGGATTGAAGTGGTTCCCATGCATAGTAACTGGGGATATGCAAGGTGGAAAATGTTGTTTTGTTTTTAGTTTGGTTCATTGAGGAGTTCCTCTTCTATTGCACAACTCTTGTTGTTCATCTCAAAAGAGAGGAACTCTTCCAGGATCTTTCAATTCAGTTTTCCCCATCCCACAGGGCTGGTTGGGCAAAGACATGCATGCATAAAGGTGATGGTAAGAAGGAGGGGAAAGAGCAACAGGGCTGGCTGACGGGCTGGTTTGCCAACAAGATGAGGCGGACAGTGGCGGCATCAGGAAGGAGGGAGAAGAAGAGCAGGGAGGTTGGCTGGGCAAGGCGGTCAGGTCCACGGCGGCAGCAGTGGGTAGACAAGGAAAGGGAGGGGAAATAACAGAGCAGGCAGACAATTGGAATATTGGTGTGAGATGATCTTATGGACATGGGGCGAATGAAGGTGACAAATGAGAGAGAAATGAATAAGAACGGATGTGTCTCATATTCATCAAAATAGTATTATTAGCAATTCTGAGGCTCCCTCCCAGAAATTGATAGAAGGTGATGAAATCAAATGGGATCACCTGTTCTGCACTTTTCTTCATTCATCGTGACTGGAAAGTCCTGTGCCCAATAGCGATCCCTGTTGTCTCCTGTACAATAACCAAGTATATATGGACAATGGAATGGGAATGGCACCTCTCCACCATTAACTTCCAGGATAAGCAACTTCTGCTTGTGTGGAACTCAGGCTGTGCTTCGCACTGAGCTTTGCCTCACCCCCTGTTCCTGCTCCCTCCACCTCCCCAAAATTATTATCAGATATAAGGCTGCTTCCCAGCTCCTAAAATGTAGGTGGTCAGTCCTCTCAAGCAATGAACACCTGCAGTTTTTCTTGCAAAGCAATGACTGTAGAACTTCTCTGGTGCTCAGTTAGTTATGCAGTCCCACATCACATGCACGTTTAACCACAGAACTGGTAAACTGTTTTACTAGCCAGTTTCTTCGCATGCTAACACTGACATCATGTAAAGGCATGTCTTTTTGTTTGTTTGTTTCTCTTTGGTTATATTTGCAGTGCCTGGATTTGTGTTTCAGATGAGATGAAAGCTGCATCTGATTTGCACAAGTAAGGACAGTTTAGTTTATTATTCAAAATTTGCCGAGGGCTGGGAGGCGTTTAAAACCCATGTAATAAACATTTCATTCAAAGTGCTTTTCTCTGGGATTGCCTGAATTCTATTTACAGCCATTTCCTCTGTGGTTGTCTGGCATGTTATTTCTGGAAAGGCCAAGTTTCATGCAGCAGGTGTGTTTTATGTTGTACACCCAGGAAACTTGGCAAAGACCTTCAGACAGAAGCAATAAACCCAACAAATCACATTCTGGTGGAACATGAGAAGAGGAAAAAAACAGTGAGTTCAAACAAAGTTGATTGTCTCACACCACAAGCAATGTTTGGATCTCAGTGGTTGCGCATGAAATGATGTTAGTTAGAACTCAAGGTCATACAACAAATGCCTGTCTTGGGAGCCAAGCTTCTCTGATTGACAAGAACATCCTTCCTTTTGACCTTGTCTGATTTCCACCTCTGAACATGTTGAAAAAAACCCGAGCAGAATAAGCAAAGGGGATTTTGCATGGCCAACACAATATAGTAGAACATCATTAGAACTCTAAACAAACATAGATGGTCCACGGAATGAAGGACACTCAGGTTTTAAAGGGAATAGACAGAATTCCATTGCTTGCATACAGCAATATAAGTGCAACACCATACATTACACTGGGAAACAACTGCTAGTTAAGGAGTCGCTGCTTGTATTCCTCTTTGCACGCCATGCAGTAGGAGCATGATAAGCCATTCACTCTTCTTTAAAAACAGTCATGACAATTGCTTCATGTTTGGGTGAGAAGTGGTTAACTGATGAAAAAAGGAGACTGCTTCTGGGATTTTTCTTTGCTTAGTGTCACTTTGTATTCACAAAGTAGTGAGCAGAAGAGGGTATCCTGTAGACTGTGAGTGCAACACCCCCCCATGAGTGTGACACCCCCCAGCGAGTGCAACCCCCCCATGAGTGTGACACCCCCCAGCGAGCACGACAGCGCCCCTCCACATGTGTGCAGGGGGGTGGCAGAGATCCGTATCTGCGGCCCAGCTCTGGCACGCCCACGACCCCTGCTGTAGACCATCTAGACTGCTGTCATTGGTGTTGTCAACATTCAGGCAAGCCTTTGCTATGTAGAGCTTGGTATCCCTTTTCCTGCTCTCAAAGCAGGCACAACATTGTGCAGCAATATCAGGCCATTTCCTAGTGGATAACAAAGCACAGTATCCCACATTCATGAACTGGAGGATTTTTCAAGAATTGAATTTACACCAGTATGCTGGCATATGCAAGCAATAGGATTCCAGCAACTAGAGGATTTTTTTTCTAATTAATATGTTTATTTCCTGCAATGTATTTCCTTAGAGACATGGGCCATGGCAATCAGAGCTGCAGTTTAAGCCTCTATTTGCCTTCAGTGACCAATCAGACAAGAATATACGTTAAACAGAAGTGAGAAAAATGATGTACTATCACAGACAGCTTTTGGCATTTAAGGAAGCACCCATTCCAAAAACATGCCGAGCTTATTGGATAATTCGACTGCTAGAGAGATGTATATATTCCTATAGTAGGGTCGTGCTTACCTTGAGACAGCTAGATGGCAATCTTTGGTTTCATATTTGGACTTATTGCAGAGATTTGAGAAGGCAGGTGTGCCTGCAAGATGTCTGAATGCAATGATGTTTCACTAGGTAGCCTGCTTCTGTAGGGTACCTGTCTATGACTAACATAAAAATGGGGGTCATGGTAGTAGGTGACTGGCTTGGAATGTCTTTATACTGCGGTTGTTTCCCCTTCAATCTGTTGCATACCCAAAAAATGTGGATGTGTGCATCTTTGGGGCTTGAGTACAGAAAACTTGAGTATCACGGGCCTAATTTAACATTATAGGGTAAATAGTGTGAAAAAGTTTAAGGCCTTGGATGTTTCAAAGTTATATATTGTGAACTAAAAAACACATGCAAATTAAAACAGCAGGCTTTCTCCACGGGGACAGCTTGGGTGGATTCCAGCATTATATAAGCATGCCTTTCGGAAGTAAGACTGCAGTTCTGTGCCATTAAATTCATGTTATTGTTACCAGGCCTATTCGGGCATTATAGTCTCTAGATGCACCCGTGTGCTACGAGGGAATCTTGTACCTCTCCTGCCCTCTGTCATTGCTTTGTTCACGCCACGTAATAGTGACCCTAAAGAAATTGCTGCTTGTCTGTAAGCTCTACAAGTGAGCAAGAATCTTGAAGGAATATGGGTCCTTGCTGGTGTTTAGAGCTTATGTGACAGCAGGACTTTGTTCAGCCTTGGGGTTGCTTGTGCGAGCAAGGTGACCAACGAGAGGGGTAGGGACCTCCCCTCTAAGCACAGACATAAACTCCTCCGATGCTGCAGGATGCCAGAAGAGAAGTTCTTTTGAGTCAACAGGAACAGGACTGCAATAGAAACTTACAGCAATGTGATTTATGATGATGTGGGTTCCTCTAACTTTGATGTGATTTCATTTTTCCCTTGCCCTTGGTTTTAAAGAAAAGTAAACGAATACATAAGTAAGATCTACTGTGGCTAAATGTACTTAAGCTGGATGTCCGGAAGCGATTTGATCCCTGTAGTGTTAATCAGGCACTTCAAACGTTAGAAGAAGAAGAAAACCTAACTGTGCTTTTCAAATGTCATGATGTTTCTCTTCCATAAGCTAGACAATACAGTCGAGAAGGCAGCTGAAGTGGTTCTCAGCAATTGGCGTCAACAAATAAAGGCAAGTTCCTACCTTTTCTAATTGCAAAAGTGTGTTGGGCATCATCTACCTGGGGTAAGAGTTGTGGCCTTCCAGCTGATTTTGTCCTAAAGCTCCTCTCAGTTCACGGCGGCATGACCAGTGATGCAGAATAATGGAAGCTGCAACCCAATTTATATCGGGAGGGCTATGCTGTCCACCCCAGTTTACCCCAAACCCACATATTGATTGATTGATTGATGTAAAATATTTTTACCCCGCCTTTCTCCTTTAAAAAGGACCCAAGGCAGCTCACTTCAGCAATGGCAAGTATATATAAAAAACAATAACCCATAAGTAACCCCAAAACCCAGTCAAAGCAATAAGGTACAATGATCCATTTAAAACCCCACTCAGGCAGCCCATCACTCAGGGACAGCCTGCCTAAAGAGAAAGGTCTTTGTTAATGAAGGTCATAGGGTTGCAAGCAAAAAAGGTTGGAAAGGATTAACACCAAAAGAACAGAGTGTGATGTCAGTGATGATGCTACCAAGGTCTGGATGCCTCAAAGGTGTCGGGTTTGTTTGTGAGGTTTACCACAAAGTGCTTTCCCTGTTTCTCCTGGATCTTTCTTTCTCCAGCTGGCCATGAGGGAGAGCTGATCCGAGGACAATGGGAAGTGAAAAACAAGTAGATGCTATATGCAGAGTCAGGGCTATAATGAGCTAACTACCTCAAGGATTAGGATTAGGATAGCTTTTGTATGAATGTTATAATAGTAAAGGCTGTGATCCATTGTGGATGATGCCTCGTCATGAAACAACAACAAAAATCCTTGCAGAACTGCTCTTTCGCACATGGGTTTGTTCTGGCCAAACCTTGTTATCCTAAACCAAGTCACTGAAGCCCTTTCATGATAGCAAATATAAACAGCTGTTGTTTTTAAGTATTTCTGGTAGAGACTTTCCAACATACAGTGGACCCTTGACTTACAGATGGCTTGACTTACAGACTTTTTGAGTTACAGACTTCTCTGGCCGCAAAATTTAGGTTTGACTTGCAGACTGAGATTTGACTTACAGACCAGAAAAAAACCAAAATGGAACAAAAAATGGCCTGTTACGGGATTAATCAGTTTTCAATGCACTGTAGGTCAATGGAGACTTGACCTACAGACCTTTTGACTTGAGAACCACCTTCCAATACGGATTAAGTTCTCAAGTCAAGACCCCACTGTAGCTGAATTCTAGCTGAAGCAGCTCTTAGGAGAGCCACTGTTTCTCTTAATGGGATTTGTAACTCCAAGGGTTAATTTGTGTATTCAAGAGCAATAAACAGGGCTGTACAATTATATTTTCTTGTACCGTGCAATCGAAGATAGTGAGATATTCCCTGCTTCCACCGCAGGGAACAGCTCACTTGGCATCCTTTATTAAAATATAATAAGTTTGGGGAGCGAACAGTAATGAGGATATGGAGTAATAAGCAGCGTGAGCGATCATTGCAGAAGCTCAGCCTGGAAATACTTGGGCCGCGCTGCACCTCCCCAGCCCACTGCCCTAGTTGATGCTATTGTATTTTGTGGTAGGCTAAAAAGAAGTTAAAGGAATTCACCAAAGAGCACGAAGCACTTTTCCGTGAAACAGAAAGCTCCCAAGCGTTGGCATCACCAAAGACGAAAAGAAAGGTAAATCTTGACATATGTATGTACGTACGCTTCTGAACCATCTAAGGACACAGCTGTGGAAAGGTAATTTTTAAAAAAAAACAGTTTGGGGAGCTGTAGTTTGAAAAAGTAACTTTTTCTCAACTCTGAGTAAGGATTGCTTTATACAGCCAGTTGATCTGCTTGCAACCATAGAGGGAGCATGTAGAGGAAGAATCTCTGTCCCCACAACCATGTCCCCAGGTCAGTAGCCTTAGGAGATGGGTTGGCAAGCAACCACGCAGTGGGGTGGCCACTTTTCCTACTGAGGGTTGCCAGGAATAATGTGATGGGGGGTGAATGCCAATGGTGAGTAGCCCCGCAGGATCTTGGAGCCTAAAACAAAATCTGCTTTGTTCCAGACCAACTCTCCTTACACTCATTTTATAGAATGACAGGCATCAATCTGCAAAGTATCTTATGGGAAGAGAATGTTTCAGTGCTCCATAGCCTACGACAATGATTTTTCTCCATTTTCATTTTCTGCTTATTTTTATGTGCACGTTATATGGTTCTGGGCCATAAAAGTACTATCAACCTTATCTCTCCTGATTTTATGTAGGCATAACTAAAAAGTAATTCGAACCAGCTAATAGAGCTTACGAGGACAGTACCTCTACTGAATGAAATTATTTTTCTCTCTCTTTTTTTTAAAAACGATCTTGCATTTATGTTTTCATTTTAGTTACTCCGAAACCTGGAAAAATCTGCAACCAAACTGGCAAAGGATGACGAAGAGTATTATAAAAAGAATGTAGCCGCCTGTGAAACTAGGTTGAAATGGGAAGCCACTTTAGAAAATTGCCACCAGGCAAGTCATTTCAAGGTCCTTTCCTTCTGCTGGCATATACTTTCTCCAGAATATAAACAAGACACATTCTGCTCCCTCATCCATGTTTTATTTGGATTTGCAATTCAAGAAGGACAGTGATTTACAGAGGTGTGTTCAAAATGTACCGCTCCTGGTTTGCAGCTGTGTGTTTTAAGGCATAAACAATTGCTCCAGGAAAAAAATGCACACCGCTTAAATGTGTTAAGGTATCAACATCACAGAGAGTAGGCCTAGCACAGTATTAGAGGACATTCTCAGCGCATTGATAGGCACAGGCTCCCAACATTTTCAGCTGAAAAGATCTAAAGCTAGAGCCACTACCAACTGGAGCAGGCAGTCCCAGGGCTAAATGCACCTACACTTCATTTGAATTGGCAGCTGAGTTGTCACCATGTGCCCAAATGTACATAGTTTAACCCAAATTAAAAACTCATGAGTCTCACCCCACCCCATTTCCCTGCCTCCATTGTTCCCCAATCCACATTTCTTTTCCACACCGATTTCTCTCCCCCACCACCCATTCCCAACATAGCTTAGTACTCACTCCAGTGCTCATATCCACTCACCTCGGTTAAAAACGACCAGTTTCACTCTCATTTCTCCCACCCCCAAAGCCTTTCTTTTACACTGGTCTTCCCCCCCCCTTTCCACCTTGGTATTCATTTGCCAGGTACACAAGAGCCAGAGACCTCCATGGCGGTCTTATTCCTTGCTCACCTTCCTCTTGTGAGAAAGGCTAGAGGAGGAACCAGGTTCAGTCAGCGGACATTTTGAAGCCATCTGAGTTTTCCATGTTGGGGGATTCAGCCTGACAGAGTGCTTCTGGCTTTCCTCCCCCACTTCCACCTTCCACACACAGATAAGGCATGTGGAAAGCAGAGCTAATTCTCAGGCTAAAGCACTAGGACAGAAAGGCACCAGCTAACCACATTGGTGGTGCCCCTCACATCAAGGATATGGCCATGCCCCATATGCCATCAGATTTTTTTTGGGGGGGGGAATTAAGGTGATTGTCTTGCTGCCCCAGAATCATCCCCACATTCACAAGTTTTATCATTTTTTCCCCATCACCCCAAGAGACGCCCCTCCGAGTGTTTCAAAAGCAGCTTAACTATAGAAACATGGGCAAGAACCTGCCGCTTCATGTGCTACAATCTACTGGAGTAAAGGAAATATGTGCAGTATTTCCGTCATATTGATCCATAAGAGTTCAGAAGTAGAAATGATTATATTATCTTTACATGCCATTTTTTTACATTTCTGGTGACTTCTGGGCAGGGAACCGATTTGGCATGGCAGCTGCAGCACAGAGGTTTGCCACAACACCGATGCTCTCAAGACTTCTTTAGATTTAACAGCTCATCCTATCCTTAAGATCCACTCCTCCTTTCCCCGTCCTTGTTCTGTGAATGATATGCAGGGAGATGCAAAAGCTTTGCTTGGACTAATGTTTTCCATGGTATACACATTGTGGCTTTTTAAAGGCAAGGGCTTTGTGCAACAGAAATTCACACATACGTCTACTCCCCGATAATCAGACTAAAAGAGGTTAATCAGGATGTGAAGAAGAAGCTTTCTTGCAGTTAAAAACAAACAAACACTAAGGCAATAACAGCAAGCAACTCTGGTACATGGGCTTTTCTCCCAGACCTTCATTTTACTTAGTTTGTAGTCCTTTTAATGGAGCAATAGCTACAGTCAGATCCATGTCAAGCAGTGAGTGACAGCTGGAATTACTGCTCACAATTTACATTAAAATATGGTTTAAAAAGTAATAAAAATAGAAGTTTGTTAAAAGAGCTTTTTTTAAAAAAATACTCTTACCAGCATCAACAAATAGGGCATAAATTTCCCACTCAATCATTTTTTTCTTGAAGCAGAAGTTTAATTAAATGCTGTTCAGCATCACCACCTCCACTGAGAGCTACTGTATTTTTAATTGCATGCTTACGATTTGTTCTAATCCTTCAAGCATTTTGCAGTTTAAAAGAACACACCTACGTAAAAGAAATGAAGGACAGAATCCAGCAAAGAGTTAGACCCAGTTGATGTTAACAGGGGAAGGTGAATCGTAACTTCATCTATCTGCCTGTAGCTATTTGGGTTCACTTTTTCAGTCTGTGGGAATTGTTGACTCCTTTGTCATGAATGGATTGCTACCATGTAGATCTCAGCTGCTAGACACTTCTGCCGCCTTTGGTGCTTCCGAGGGGAGCACAGAAACTGCTGCAAGGTGGAATTTTCTGAGCAACAAACACCATCTAAACACGTTTGTGCAAAGTATCCTCAGTGAAAAAAAAATCCTCAAACAAAAAAGCACTCAAAGAAACCCAACATAACAGAGGAATCAGCTCGGAAGCCGGTGGGGAAAATAAATCCAATAAGCTACCCATTAATAAACAATCTCAATTGTCGTTATCGTAGTTATACCAATTCCAAATGCAGATTCCAAGGCCAAAGTATTGTCGGGCATTAAAATTCCCATGTCTGAAGAAATGCTTCTGTTGTTCCACCCACATACCAAGAGCCAGGAAACAAAAAATAAAATAAATGTACAGTAGAAGAATCTGAGTATCTACCCAGAGAGGCCAGGGGTAACTGGAGTATGTTACTCTGGCTTCTCTGCATAATGTCTTGCTCAGTAGTAGTAGTAGTAGTAATAGTAGAAGATGACATTCTTTGTCCCAGTCTGCTATGTTGGTTTTATGATTCAGTTAATCTTAGTGTAACACTTTTGAGCACCAGTGTTTTTTCGTTTATAGAAAGAAAAGTATTAATTGCAAATATCTAAAATTTATGGGCATTGTTTTACTCCTGGGTGGGGGAGGCAAAGTCTTAGAAGTGGTTCTATTTCTGTGTACCTTCTGCAAGACAGAAGCAAGTCCATAGGCATTTTTCCTGGAGGGGAAGTTGTGTGATATACACTAGCATGCTTTGCAAGCGTGGGGTGCTCTACTACAACATAATGTATCTGTCTCCATATATTAAAATTATAGTAAATCCAGGCTTCAAGGGGACAGCACCATCTCCTGTGGACATCCAGGGACAGAAACGCATCTGTAAAATTAAAGTGTCCCATTGGAGTATCCACCCAGAGAGGCCAGGGGTAACTGGAGTGTTACTCTGGCTTCTCTGCATAATGCCTTGCTCAGTAGTAGTAGTAGTAGTAGTAGTAGCAGTAGTAGTAGTAGTAGAAGGTGACATTCTTTGTCCCAGTCTGCTATGTTGGTTTTATGATTCAGTTAATCTTAGTGTAACACTTTTGAGCACCAGTGTTTTTTCGTTTATAGAAAGAAAAGTATTAATTGCAAATATCTAAAATTTATGGGCATTGTTTTACTCCTGGGTGGGGGAGGCAAAGTCTTAGAAGTGGTTCTATTTCTGTGTACCTTCTGCAAGACAGAAGCAAGTCCATAGGCATTTTTCCTGGAGGGGAAGTTGTGTGATATACACTAGCATGCTTTGCAAGCGTGGGGTGCTCTACTACAACATAATGTATCTGTCTCCATATATTAAAATTATAGTAAATCCAGGCTTCAAGGGGACAGCACCATCTCCTGTGGACATCCAGGGACAGAAACGCATCTGTAAAATTAAAATGTCCCATTGCAAGGCAAGGTTGGAAGTCCACATTTTCTTTTCTCTTTACTTTGCTGAGTCTGTGACAATGTACAAGACTTCAGTGGGAGTGGCAGCCAGATTGAAGGCCTGCTCTGTTATATAAGAAGTAAGATTGGATGTGAGGACTTTTAAGAGGGCTTTTCCCATTTTTATTATTTCATAGCTCATAATAATCAGAAATATATGTGCTAATAGTCACATTCTACCTCCAAAACATGTCCAAGCATTTTTGGCTTGTGGCATAATTAGCAAGCAGCCCACATGAAGGATCCATTCTGACTTCACTGGAATAACTCGGGGAGCGGACACAATGGCCTCTCATGGCCATGTCTGTCGCTGAACCAACAGATCGATCTAATGCTTCCATCTTGTTCTCTCTGTATCTACCAACGACTTTCCTCTTTTTAACAGCATGTTCTAGATCTCGAAAAGGAGAGACTCAGTCTTCTGTGCAGTATGTTAAATTGTTACAGCCTGCATCTTTCCCGTTTTGGAGAAAACCTAATGGCTGTACGTATTCTGAGATTATGCTTTCACAATTCTAATTGCACATGACATGAATTTATTTGGGCATCTAATTACGTTTGTCCCTATTCCAGTGCCACACAAAGATTTGCAGTGCTGTGCATGAGGCGGATGCTGACAAAGACACACAAGTGTTAATGGAAGGCATGTCTGAGCTTGTTGCAGAAACGAAACTGGAGTTCCTGTTAACTGACTATTATGTGAGTGCCAATGCCTCTGAAATTGCAGGTGGGAGAAAGACCTCCATGGTGTTTTCAGGCATTACCTACCCAGTTCTTGTTGTTGTTTAGTCGTGTCCAACTCTTCGTGACCCCATGGACCAGAGCACACCAGTCCCTCCTGTCTTGCACTGCCTCCCGGAGTTGGGTCAAATTCATGTTGGTTGCTTCAATGACACTCTCCAACCATCTCGTCCTCTGTCATCCCCTTCTCCTCTTGCCTTCACACTTTACCAACATCAGCGTCTTTTCCAGGGAGTCTTTTCTTCTATGAGATGGCCAAAGTATTGGAGCCTCAGCTTCAGGATCTGTCCTTCCAGTGAGCACTCAGGGTTGATTTCCTTCAAAATGGAGAGGTTTGTTCTAAGAAAAGTGCTTAACTCCATGAAATGCAACATGTTTGAAGAGGAGGTCGCTCTTCATGTGGTGGCTCTCTTGAGAAAAGCACTTAACTCCATGGAATGCAACATGCTTGAAGAGGTCGCTCTTCATGTGGTGGCTCTCTTGGCAAGCAGAAACATTTAGAAAGCTAGGGTTCTGGCTCCTGTGGAGGCCCTCCACACGAACAAGACCCTCTCAACTTCAGATGTGTCACTTTCCGCATGAGGAAAACAGTAATGGAGGTAGTGCTAAGTGCCCCCCGCTTCACATGTTGAACAGAACCCTGTAACTAATGCCTGAATATGGTTTATATTGCAGGAAATTCTGAATGTGTTTTAAATGCTTTACTATGACTATTTAGTTGAGTTTTTTCAATACTGTATCATACTGGCTGAAATCCGAAATTATACTGCATAATGCTGATGATGTCATCAGCTGTCTCAAATTTTCAGAAATAAAACATTTCTGATTTCTTCCTCAAAGATCTTTAGGCTCCC